GTATGGGAATGAAATGCATCTCTGCGATACAGGAGTACTTAAGTTGTCGGTAAATTTATATATATCAAATAGAAAATCTGATCGTTAATTAAATTGCAACACGTGAAAAAAAAAATTGTTAGTAAGAAAAATCAACTACAAACATCCTAATCCATGAAACACGCCTAAGCTTGCAGGTTTAAACTTACTAAGCGAATGACAATAGATGTTTTTCACACGATCACAATACAACGAAATTCGCGCCATAGCGCGCTATCTTTCGTGCGTTGGCTCTTTATTTAGCCAAAGGCGTCGGATACATGCAGCCTTTCACCTGCGAATGTCCTGGAGAAAACGCGACCAACCTCCTTACTACGATATTAATGTGCAAGCTCTAAATTAGGATTGCCAGTCGCCGGTGAAATCTCGCGTAAACTCCTCTAATAAGATGTATTCGAAGACTGGTTTGGCGTCCCACTGACCGCGAGCTAAGTCCATGCGATCTGTATCATATGACCCAGTTTTCAATTATTTACTTGCATTTTATCGAAAACCAAGAGTAGTGGACAGCGTTTGGTTATCGGATCTTCTGGTGGAATTGTTATAACTTGTCAGTGCTCCGTTCCCTGGCTGTAGATTGTTTCATCGGGTCCGAACAAATGTTTAAAAGGTGGTTTGTCGTGGATGCTGTGCCCACTTCCCATGTTTTGTAAGTTAATGAGTTTTAAAATCCTTGATCAATAATTAGATTTGTTAAATCATAGATTTTAAGTACAACATACGGATAAGGGCGATGATGTTTAATAATAAACGTGACGCATGTCTATACTGCGCGGCGTTCAGTGATTAATTTTTACATTTTATGACATATAAGTGAATGTGACAGATGATATAGAACGTATGATACGTAAAGAGATGAGAGTAACTGGAGTTCCTCAGATTCGGTGCGCTGTTGTATCTACCTCTTATTTGGATTTATCGTTAGTTAAGGGTAGATTTTTCACGATTCATTCAAGTTAACCAACGCATGTACGCAACGTTAAACTTTTATTTTGTTGTTTTGCCTGTAATTGTTCTGAAAGTTTACGTAAAGAGTTGTTACGAAGTAAACGTGGAACATTTGCCAGTACCGTGTTTTTTTTAATATTGTAGCTTGGAATTGCACATTGCGTTGAAATTTTCTAACAATATTAGAATAATTAACTCACGGTCGTTGTTTTAACGCAAGGACGTAAGCATTACAACATATCTGTTTGCGTAGTTAAGAATTTTTTTAAATATTTAAAAACTAAACCGAAGATCATTTTTTGTTTCGTCATATTCTTAATCTGGCTACTGCATAACTTATTTTGTTCTTAATTTTATTTCTCAGTGAGCTTCGCAAATTGTTAGTAATTGCCCTCATTCCTTCATCTAATCTACTTTATTAAAAGGTGGCAACGTATCGGCAACTCTAGGGGTGTGACAAATTTGTTGTCACTCCGTTATCACTTAACATCTCGTTTGCTTAGTTTTTTTTTGTAATGTAAGGTGTGATCTAACAAAAAAAAATCTAATCTGACAATAATGTTACGGACTAAAGGAAAAGCAAGGACTTATTTCCTTTTTTACTTACACATTTAAGACGCACTAATTATAAACACTTAACAAGACGAAAGAAGTGATATACCCCTCAAAACTTACCGTCTTCCTAAAACTTATTTTACACTTTAGACTAAACAACCTGTTCTAATCCTAACTAAACAAGGCTGTATTTTAAGACACACTACAGACATAGAAATGATTTGATCTCATCAGATGTTTTATTCGTAGTGACGTTCTGTTGAGCAAATGCACCGATTTGTACGGGGACGTATCACGACCTCGCAAGAGAAGAAAAGTTGAAGTATTTTTAATTATGCATTTCATACCGTGGATGAGGTAACCGAGGCTCAGATCCAAAGGTTGGACACAACCGCAGCTGGTGTTGGATGCTCCAAGCGGTTATTATGGTAATTTTGAGCCGTCCACTCGAGTTCCACTTCTCCCCTCAAAAACTTGGTCCTTTTTCACTCTCGTCATGAAATGATTGCCATCTAATTGCAATGTGCGCGAAGTTGATAGGTGCTGTTCGTGGCAGTCTGTGGAGGCCTATGTGCAGCAGTGGATTCAAACGGAAATGACGATGATGATATGAGTTGATCGTGTTCTTACTAATGCTCGTTCCTGAAGTCTTCGTATTTTCACTCTCTCGTGTTTCATCAAACAAAGCGCTTCGGGCCGTACTCAAATGTGAATATTTCAATAGACAGTCCGTCGTTGCCCGGATAATGTATTCACTGGCTTACATCCAAGGATTCCTTTGTCCACCCGCATGCACACGCGTAATGGATAATAGATTGGAATCGTAACACGATACAGGATGTTTCGAATTCAGATTGTTTTATATTTTTGTGAAATTTAAAAGATGGCTGTTACTGTTTCCGCGTACTATCTAACCTTTCTGATATGATGTTGTACGGTCAAGGAATTTAAACGGTGAATTTTATTTTACGGCGAAGGAACCGCTTGATTGTTTGCCTTCTTACATACTCTTTAATAAGCAATAATATTTTTAACCTATAATAAGAGTACAATAGTATTGGCTGTATTGCGTCATGTTCTGAGAGTTGACGCACGTGTACAGTCATACCAAACATTGTGCAAGTCCCGTTCGAAGCTAGTGGACGCTTTCAAAGCTTGCGAGCTCAAGTTCGGGTCTCACAACATCGCCCATTAGAAGCCGATGCGAAGAAAGTAGAAAGCATCTCTGCAGGATTAGCAACGTGGTAGCACGTTTGCCGTCCAGGCATTTCGTATTCCCCCTGAGATACTTACGCAAAGTAATATTTCCTGCTGAAACGTCTGTACATCTTACTTACTCTGTGTATTTCTTAAATGCTTATCAGCTCTAATTATTCCTGTAAAACAAAGGTTTGGTTAATTCTTGGCTCATTTCAAAAAAGTTTCGCCTGATTCTGAATTCGGACAAAGCAACATTTATGTCTTTCTCGAATGTTGATGTTCCGTTGCAAGTTTGTTTGTCTGAATGATCATTGTCTGTCCTCTTCGATGCAAAGAAGTACCCAACCTTTACATTGCTGAACTATAGGGGTGACCAGAATTATTTTGCAACTAGCGTGTGATTCCCGTTATTGTTTTTATCCTTGTGCGAATCTAAATTTGACAATGATGTCTATTTAATCATAGATAATTATGAATTATTGGCTTCCGAGCTAAGGTTAGATAATTATTTGGGACAATTATTTGTGTCACCCACAGATAATTTCCGGATCTGGGATTTAATTTTTCAATGCTTAATTACTGCTCTACTTTGAAAAACGAGATAAAAATAATTAAAATATATGACGTCATATATTTTATGAAAAAGACCTTTCAGAAACTTTGAATTGTAGTAGAAGAGTATTAGGAAAGCGATTATAGATAACATAATATTTATCACTGATATGTTGTTATGTAAATTTTTATACATTTCTTTTTTTTTTTCAACTTTCAGGTAATTTCTCATCATGTTCGAGTGCAAGCGACGCAATTTCATCCAGTGAAATGTAAAAGGCGTTTTGTGAATTTCACAAGCTAATTATTAAACCAGAGACTTCGGAACTGACTTTCCGGAGCCTTGTTTGAAATAAACAATAGAAAAACGATTGACAATTGGACGACGATTGATTCAAAATATGTATAATGCAAAAAGTTTGCCTGTGAAAACACATAAGGTGTTTTCGTCTTACTTCCTAAAAAAAAGAAACTGTTCTATTTAAAATTCTTTGATATTAAATTTCGTATGTATGAAAAGCTGAAAGCATAGATACGCATTTCACCGGTCGGTATACAAAAAGAAATAGTGCATCACTTTCAGATATCGGAACAGTTCGTATTTTACATACGGAGAGTAAATACTTCTAAAGAAATAAATGTTTTTGTATTTCGGAATCAAATTTTTTAATCTTCTTTTCCTTTTGGATTTTGTTGGTATGCTCGTATAGGTTTAGTCCAATTTAGTCCATCTCAAACCGCTTAGTATTCAGCTTGGTACAGTCATCACCTGATGATGACTGTACCAAGCGGTTTGAGGTGCCTCGTAAAATTTTTGCTTTTTATTCAAGATCTATAAGCGAGTCTTTTCAAGTAGTTATGAACGTTTTTAAATTACGGCCAGACTAGATAAATAAAAAGTTAGCTGGAACCCTGCTCTTAGCGTGTCACGTTTATACCCGACATGATATTAAATTAGGTCATCTGATTGCAAGTAAAAAAATCATCAAAACTGCATGGCAAATTTTGCAACTTCTGCCTTTACATTATTTACATTCGCAAGATATATTTATCACCTTTAGGAACCGCTTACTTATTTGCTATTTACTTCGAACAAAATTTAGACTATTGCATCCTCTGCAAACTAACTCAGATCACAACATCACTACGTATTATAAAGTTCCTCCGCCGCCTCTGCCTGTATGTCTGATACGATAATCTTAAAAAATTCTAATATTTTTATACGGATTTCATCAATGAACATGATGATTCATAACGAAAGGTATAGCTTTCCTTATGATATTCTATTCCTTACCTTACCAAATATATATATTTCAGAACTGTTTTGTGTAAATTGGCTATATTATGACGATGATTATTGAAGAAATAATTATCGTCATCGAAATAAATTATGTCACGTGGATAAAACTCCGCTTGCAGCGAAAAAGGATAAAATCATATTAAATTAGCTACCCTTGCGAAGCCGAGGCTGGTCTCTATAACACAATTCTATATATAAAAAAATCATGTTGGTTGGCTATTAGTCTCGTTGATATTGTTGATGAGCCATTATCCCAAAAGCATCTTGTATGAAACAGCCCTGTACGTGGTAGTCGATCCAGACATCAGTATAACAAATACGCCGCGTTATTGCTAATTGAATAAAAGCGCGGATCGAGTGGCCGCTGGGGCGTGGATACGTGTAACCCTGTTACCCAGCAGCTCGGATGTACCGTGGTAACGGGCCGGTCCACTGTTCCAGTGCGGGTGCACGGCCCAAGGCACAGGAGGATTGCTGCGTCGTTTTCGAGCTGTCTATGATCATCGGTAATACGAAATACGTTCATAGAAGCGTAGCATCTTTTTTTATCGTGAAAAATCTCATGCAAACAAAGTTCATTTCGCTGGAACTCCAATCTAGGGTTTGGTGGTAAATACACGGTGCCCTCGATATTTGATGGCCAGGTTCTATTTACCGGTATGATAGAGATATTGATTTTTAAATATATACCATTTTCCATTCACTGAAAGACTTTTTAGGTAAATTTTTTGTTACGTCTCCATTCAAGGCAACTTCATTTTCGTTTGAAGAAAAGTTATTTCGTTGAAGAAAATCCGCATGAAGAATTTATGCTGTGGTCAAACTGACCATGATACTCTGACCATTTATAATGATACTGTAATATTATAGATAAACAAGTATAATAATGTGACAAAAAATGCGATCAAAGCGGTATTAAATTGTTAAATTCCTAAGCTCTCATTTCGCTCAACACTTGCACCATACGCTAACGGTACGCCGAGGTGCATTTTGCAATAACCACTCGAATTCGTGCTAACTGCAGTAAGAGGCGACTCTGTTAGAAGCACTGCGATTCGAGCGGTGATGAGATTATTTCCATGCCGCTATTTTCTGATAAACCTCTTACTTTAATATATACGAAGGCTTTGATCGTTCCTATTGAATGCAGAGTTTAATTTAAAGCGCAATATCGCTGGAGATTAGACTACTTAGTACGTAAAGCAAAAGAAATCTTTACAACAAGTAATCAAAAGCAAAAGCAGCCAAATTATTTCAAAGTCTCAGTCCAATTTATTCATTCAATGTAGGCGTTACAGAACTTATGGAAAGTCAAAAAAACTACCACTGGTTCACTAACTAGACCTGACCAAGGTAGAACCGGCAAGAAATTATGCGGTCTTGTTATTTCTTTTTTTTTATTTGAACAGTATTTCAAATTAAACTTATTGATGGTAGGATAGACTGCCGTAAAGTTCTTAATTGTCCGTAAACTTGTGATTATAGCTCTCCTAGGTGATATAGACGCGCTGTGGCCGCCGTTATTATAACAGAATACATTCCTCGCAATAAACTCCTCGCCATAAAGGCGGTGACCCACATAGAGGCACATTGTTGCCAAAAACTTGATACATGGCAGAACGTCATTAAACGTACAACGCGTGCCAAACCTAAGTAACATATCGATACAAATAAGTAAAATAGATGTTATTTCGTCTATAAATATTGTTACGATGGATGTACATTTCTGAACTTTCTATTTTAAGCGACTTCTCTCTAATACCTTAAGTATTCAAGAAATGTAAATAAACAAGTGCAAGTACGACTCGCGCTTAGAGGCTATCTCTATAAAGATCTAGGTTTTTATAAGCAAGTCCCCGAGTATAACATAGCGGTGTTAAATGGTAAAAAGTCAGAAGTTTAAATCTATATAGAATTTGACTTTAATTTCAGAGAGAGGTTCCCAGAAATTAAGCTTAAGAGGATTCTGCTTTTATGGATTGAGAACAGAGTACAGGACATAAATAATGACTACAATAATTAATTAATCACTACTCTAAGAATTGAATGGTTTTGAATTCACCGTGATAACTCACGGCCCATGTCCCCATGTGCTGGCTTTTTACAAGTTTGTTAAACAGGCATTTATCAGGTTAAAAATAATCGACACATTAATAGTTTAACTGATATTTAAATAATTTACATAACTTTATAGGACATAAACGCCCGGTTTCCGGATCGTTCTGATCATTAGAAGATTATTCTGGTCTATTCCGAGAGTTTAACCGTCCTTTTGGCAACTAAAATGAAATTTGAAAAGCCATTTGACGGCTGATTTGTTGACATCTACGATGATCAGTGTTTCAGAAACCGGCCGTATGTCTTTGATCTTTTATCTGCATCAAACTGTGTCCTTTGTTTGGTCCTACTTACTTTCACAATTATACACAATTTATTTACATTATCATTAGCGAGTTTCTACAAACGTATTAAGCAACTGTAATTCGCGCGCTAATGGCCAACAACGGCCACGTTCGTGCCGAAACTGGGTTATTAATTCCGCTGCGGTCATTTTGACGGTGTAAGTATGCGCCTTTTAGTGGCCAGGCGCGTTTGTTGCTTTCATTGTCTAAGTTAATTGCTCTTAGGGATTAAGATGGGATCCTACTGGCTTAACTTATTGATGGTAGGATAGACTTTAAGTTCTTAATTGTCCGTAAACTTGTGATTATAGCTCTCCTAGGTGATATAGACGCCCTCTGGCTAACTCTTAGCAATGCTTTTACCAATGCGTATGGGTGGATGTAATAACTTCCTTAGGTGGGTGGCAAGTGATCTGGCGGGTCATATCTGCAACTCCCGTAGAGCTGTAGATGAGTTGCCACCTTTTAATAAAGTGCACTCCGTTTACCTCACTCACCAGATGAAACGCAGAAATGCAAGGCTTCCACTTCAGGCCGGTCTTCTATGAGGTCGTGGTACTTCCCCTGGCGGACTTGCCCATTCGTGCAACAGCAGGATTTTTGCGTGGTCCTACGACAGTTTGATGAGTAAAACGTGTGGTCTCGGATCTTTTTTATGCCTTGCGTTCGGTTTGTCATGCTACGAAGTGATTATGTTTTTACCTTTTAAACGTTTCTTCTATTCTTATAATAAATCTTTGTGCAAAGTTTGTTTTAAATATTATTAACAAAGAGGATGATTTCGCGTGGGACAAATTACTCGCTCTAAATTTATTGTGACTTATTTTTACCATTTGTAAAATCATTTCTTTTCGAATCGAATACAGAATCGCGCTTTGAGAATTGCGTCAGTTGACCGATTTGGGAGTATTCAAAATTTCACTCGCGCTCAAAATTGGCACGGCGTGACTCTTTCTTCCGATTATTGAATCATTCATTTTCAGAGATCAAGCAGAGTATCGGAGACTGCTTAAAGGTATTACTCCGAGTAATATTTTTATGCAGTCGACGGCCAAAGTTTGAAATGAGTTTTAGGGTAGTAGGGGAGCACCGAGATTCGAACTGGATAATTCGAACTGCTCGAGCATAATGAATTTAAACCGATCACACGGACATTGAACTGTCCTGTCACTGAATTGATGAACCAGCTTCGATTGTAGAAGGCAAACCTATTATACAGCAATAGCCAACATCGATGCAGTATCGTCGCTAAAATTAAAGGTGATTCAGAGAACGAAAATGCTATTAGCGTCGTAATTAGCAGTATAGAGTATTGATATTGCCGACGATTACGCAGTAGGCTCCCGGTAAAGTGCTGTTCGCGTTTCACGTTAGCTACCTCACAAAATTTCCCGCTTCACAATTGGGTTCGATAAATACAAAAACCCGTTGGCAATCGCCGACAACTTGAGAATTTCCATTTCTCTCTCTTTATGTGATTTATATTGGATCATTTTATGCCTTATGTTCTGTTTGTCATTTAGGAAGTGATTATGTTTTTTATATGTATTATGTAGAGTTTCAACGTAGGACCCCGTCAGGATAATCGTGTGGATATGACGGTTGAAAAGAAGCAATTGGTTCCTTGTTAGTCAATATCAATTACATTACATCATAAGACTGCGTTAACAAAAGTCTGTGTTAAACACAATACAAATATTAATGTAAGGATTTATTTTTGATTCTATAAGAAGACACAAATAAGACAAGCTCAATACATGCATTTATAACCAATTATTAATTTCGCCTAAAAATAGATAAATAAACATGTGATTTTGGTTCGTATCCAACACATCATATTTGTGAATATTTCACATGTTATGTTTTTTTATTGAAAAGTATATATAACAAAGTTGTTAAATTTATGAGCGAGATTAAATGCGTAGCGGTAAATTTTTATGTAACTTTCTTCACATTAAAGGTTTTGAAAATGAAACAGAATTTCACGTAAAATGCCATGGGCGTTTTCTGCCCTCTCACAAGTAGACTTAACAATGTATGTTAAGTTGTATTACGGGACCAATAACTCTGTTTTTATTGATCGAATTTTTAAATGGGTATGTACAGATTGCAACTTTTAAACAAATGTACCTATCAACTCGAGTTCTAAAAAATCGAACATTCAACAAATGGTTTAAGCGTAAAAAAAATTAATCTGAAAATTTTTCGACACACACATTTAAGTTTCGTCTTTACTACAGGCTAGCATTAAAAACACAATCACAAGTGTTATATTAATCGAATAAACGCTATTTATCGACACGTTTTCGTCAGTTAGAAGAAAGAAGTTATCTTGAAATGTTACACTTGATCATTTTAGGTAAGGGCTCTATTTATACTCTTTGAGCGGATGAGGTGTCACAGGATCCTTTTCTGTGTCCGTTCTATTTACGAATAATCCGTGGCATAAGGTGATCTTCAAAAACTGTCTACTGTCATCAGAAATATTCTGCTGTAAATAGTGTGTACGGGCCTTTAATTGAATTTACGCGAGCAACCTGAGTTAGATCCCCGGTGTCAGCTCCAATGAAATTGTTAATTTTAAGTGCTAACTTATCACGTGCGCTGCGGTGAAGAAAATCATCGTGAGGAAACCTGCATATTTTCGAAATAATAAAAAAATATTTGGTTAAGCTTTTGCTTTTCGACTGGCAAGTACTCTATTAATAGGGATCCATCTTTTAAACTTGCTACACTTGGTCAGATTGGTCTTACTTCACTTTCTTTTATCAAAATATAGAAAATCTCTGCGTCATTTTGTATTAAAGGAAAATTTCCAAAAAATATAAGTCGGGCTACTTAATTGATTGCTGTCCTGGTTTGTAATGTTCGAAGGGTTCACCTTGATGACTGCGTTCTTGATCCCGTGTCCATTCTATTAGGCTGTGGCCTTTAATTATACTCGTAAGATCTCAATGCGTTAAATCGGAACGCATCAATTTCCTACTTCTTCAAAAGTGGGCCGATAGCGAGAGATAATTGAACACGTAACAAAACATATTATTTGTTGTAGTAGTGTTTTATGAAGAGCAAAGAAATTTGAAGTTTACGGCGGATAGCGACAGTGTTCTTAAACCATAAAATCTATTGTTAAAACTCGATTCCTATGCAATTAGGATATACCTCTCCTTCTTTCTAAGAGATGGATAAGGATCAAGCTGGTGAATCTGGTGGTCAGCGCTCGTAACACCTGAATGGTTGCCAAAACGTTACCGACCTATTGAATGGGGCTCTTATTCTAGGTTGTATAGATGTGTCGTCATTTTGCACCGTATTACTAACGTTAGTCAATATTTTACGTTTTTGTTGTTTATATTTGGAAGCGAATGTTCCATTTTATGCCCCTTTACCATACATTCCATTGATATAAAACTTTGATTATTTGCGCGCAAGTTAGTAAGTACTTACAATTGTTCAGTCCCAAAACGTTTCAATGGGACCGAAACGTACCATAAACAACAAAATTAATACAAGTTTAGCGGTATTCCAAGTCTCGGTCTGTTGGCGTAAGTTGGTTCGACGCGTGCCAGACATTAAGCCAGTTGAAAGCGAAGCTAGTAGGTGTCGTGTTTCCGTTGGACGTATTTTCTACATGTTTTAATGTTCAATCTTAAGTGCAAAGATTAGCACTATAAATAATTTAAATTTCGTATTTGCTAAGTTAACACACAGTGTCTCAGTTCGTGTCACAATGGAACACGGTGTACGGGAGTACAGCGGGGCCGCTAAACGGCCGCGGGTCTTTTGTTTACGGATTTGGAACCGAGTCACGTCTCGGTCCCGCCGCGATCGACGATACGGCGACACACGGAACGAGTGTGTTCATAAGCGTCGAGTGGACGGGGTCCCATTTGCTCGGTAGCCACGCTGCTGGCCCCAGAAACGACCCGAGATAGGTTTTAAGACTTTATTATCTCAAAGATTTACAAGAAAGAGGACATAAAACTTACAATACTATAAAACGAATTGTCAGTTGTGACTAGGCGTGAATAGGGGGGGCTTAATTATACAAATGGCAAGGGGTAGTAGGGATAGTTACAGAAACGAGAAGATCTTGTACATGATCTATTCAGTAGCTACACCGTGGCTGAGCGGTAACTGTGTGTATGTGGTAAATGTTGACGCTGACAACACTGTTTACCGGATATGACGTTATTTACTCGAGCTAAGGGACACATGGTCGCATAGAGCAGTGGTCACTTGGATTTAGACTGCGTTCCCGGACGGTGATATAACCACTAGTGCTTGTCGTTATAATATTATATATTGTTAATATTCAAGTTCAGTAATAGTTAAAATATTAGGATCAAGGTAAAAACGTTAGAACTCTTATAAATACGATACGTATTTATTAGCCTATAATGATAACATAATACAAAACTTGATTGAACCTGAGATGTGTCGTAAATACTATATTTTTTGTTGCAAAGTTGTCAGATTATTTTTATTAAGGAAGGTTTTATTAATTTTGAGTTGACTTCTTTGACCACCTGCAATAATGAAGTGAAAACGTAGGTCGTCAACGCATCAGCAAGCCATCGGGTGTTGAAGATGTCCATGGGGGGCGGAATTCATTTAACATCAGGTGAACCGCATGCCGAAACTTTCACATAAAAAAAAAATAATACCATGGTTTCATAGTTATAAATAGAGTTCGCGGTGAGGTAGATTAACCGAGACTTAGAGACGTTGGTGACGCTAATGAAATCCACCTATCATGTAGATATTCATAGGCTGGGCTAATCATTCTACATTGGATGAACCGACTACTTCTTCTTCAATGAAATTTATTTATGCCATAGATAATAAATTGAAAAATAGGTAAATAAGGATATATTGCTTAGTAAAGAAGGTCTGTTTATTAAAAAATATAAAGACAAGACCCCACAGTCAGCGGATCATATGTAGTGTTTGCCACTCGTTTGTACTAGTACAACTCGTTTGTACTAGTACAACTCGTTTGTACAGCAGTAACATACTCTACATAACTTTTAATTATGGAAACATTTGTTTTAGTATTTGCACAGAATAATTAAAAGATTTACATGTTCCGAGATCAGTGTACACAATGAGTTAATTGTTCAGTGCATTAATGTTTTTGATAAACATGGACATTTATTAACATGAATAAGCTGCTCTGAGCCGGGAAGTGTTACTATTACAAAATGACGGTTCATTTTACGGTCTAACAATCATTATGACATTTTTTTTGTGAAGAGCTCTCAGAAATGGATAAAATGGAAGATTTCCTTAACAAAAGATTCATGTTCGCGGACTTATGCAGAAATCGTACCATTGTTACCCCGCAGAATCGTTAGTAATGTTATAAAGTCGAAAGTTTGTATGTATGGATGGATGTTTGTTACTCTTTTACGCAAATACTACTGAATGGATTTTAAGGAAACTTTACAATAATATAGCTTATACATCAAAATAAGACATAGGGTATAATTTATATACGTATTTTTATGTATACCTGTGTTTCGGTCTGAATGTTACGCCTTCCGCCTATTCTACGCAGACATTCTACGCAGCTAGTTCTACAATATGTTAATACCTTAACAACTGCGCCACGGAATCATCTGTACATAATTGTAACGCACTAACGAACAATTGATGTATTTTTAACTATATATATGTCAATTAAAATATGTAGGTAGTAAAAGTGCGAAAATATTGTCGCCGCTGTAGGAATCGAACCCACGTCTTCGGCATTCGCGGCCTGACGCTCTAACCACTGAGCTAAACGGCTGATTGCCACACCGACGAAAATCTTAAAGTATTTTTCTACATTGTTTCTTAGCATTTGAAGCAACGCTTGGCGCATCTATTATATATATATGTCTTTTATACTGAACATGATGTTGGCGTTCACTAAATAAATATATCGTAAAGGTTCCACCTCAAAGAAGATCTTGACGGCGTTGATTTTAATAGCGTACTCTCTCCCGCCGCGTTTTCACTCGCGCGGTATGTCGCATGACACACGTCCATCGGCGAAAGTGGCCGCTCGGACAGACCTCGCACGGATTACTATATATTGCCGTTAATTAAAGTTCTGTCGCGAATAGCGATTGAACTCGAGTACGATCCACTTGGCGACAAAGGAGAATTTTTTACCCATTTCTCATTTACAATGCGTCATGCGTCCAACCATGCAAGCCGCCGTGTGTTGATAACATTCTCTAATGGAAGAATATGACAAAGGAACAGGTAGTTCAAGTCATTTTAATTTATTACACAACAACTCTCATTGGTCACGTACCTTGCCGAATTTTTAGAGAATATCAGTTATCTCACTCAGCAGATGAAATGCATAATATAAGAACGAATACTTCCACGTCTGTCATCTATGAAGCAGCGGTACTGACGACCCTGCTTATTCGAGCAACATCAGAGGCTGCTGCGTAGCCCGAAGCAGTAAAAAGAAGAATTTAACGTGACATCTTAAATAACAAACCTTCATAATTAATTAGATAATAGAGCAAAAAACTTATCAATATCAGTTCTAAATAATTATTTCATTTTCGGAAGGTATGCGACGATTAGAGCCGTGATAGCTCAGTGTCCGTGCGCTCACCTTTAATTCAATATACTCGAGCAACCTGAGTTCGATCCCCGGTGTCGGCACCATCGGATCCCGTGTGTAGGAAAAGATCGTGAGGGAACCTGCATATTTTCGAAATAATAAGAAAATATAATATATATATATATATATATATATATATATATATATATATATATATATATATATATATATGTATATTTCGAAGATATGTGAAGTCCGCCAATCCGCAGTGGGGCCGCGCGGTGGACTACGCCCTGATACCCTCCGTATAGAGGAGGCCTTTGCCCAGCAGTGGGACATGTATAGGCTGTTACTTTTGTTTTATGCGCCGATTATTGATTATTAATATTTTATCTATCTAAAATCTAAATCTCTGGTATAATACTAAACGGTGGATGAGAAATTTCCTACTTTATCAATAAATTCTCCTCGCAAAGCTTATCGAAGGCATCGTTAACTCGAACAGTACCCCTCGGCGAGGGAAATTCCAGATAAACTTACATGTATTTGTCCCAGCGCCAACTACGGGCCCATATATTGTTCGCTATCTGTTAAATAATTATTTATCTAGCTAAGTAGTTATAGGTTTAAGATATTTATCACGCATGATATAAGGTTCGCTGAAGATTTTGAAATTCTCTACCAATAATCTTTCTTTCTAAATGAAATATAGCTTTCGAATATCGGGTTAATTATTATATAGAAAAAAATCCTCATTATTTAGAAAAACAATAAGGGTAGAGAGAGTGTCGATGGCAACATTAGGATACAAAGTGAGAATTGAATAGTTTCATTTATTTATCTTACAGTGGCGTGAAATTTGAGCCTATCAGCCGCGCACCATAGAGATGGCCATAGAAAAAAAGCCGGCAGAGTGCGAGTCGTTTTCGCGAACGAATGGTACCATTATCTATTAAAATGGCAAAAAACATTACTGTTGTATGTGAGAACTTACCACTTAAATATCCCTATACCTAGTAGGTCAAACGTTTGCAACAATGTAAAGATAGATCTTTATTTTAAAAGAGATGTATAAAAATTCGTCTTACCAAATCTCTCACGTACACTAGTAATAATGGTAACATGTTTTGTAATATCACGAGAATTTCTCATTCCCGGGACGCCACTCACGCGTCGCTAACATGCTTATTTATCCTGTGGCACGACTGCTGTGTAAAATGAATTGTCGCCGGCGGTTTCCGGGTCGTTATCGTTAAGGGACCTTCCATAACAGAGGATCTATTCCTGTCTAAAAGGTTTACAGCTGCTCTGGTGCCGTGCCAATGAGTGATGGTATTCGCATAACACCGGTAAGCCATGTGGTCGTTTTCCCGCTCAAAAGCATAAAAAGTATGTGTGTACTTATGTAAGAGAAGTGATCCTTTTAAGCGTAACAAAAGAAAAGTAACTAAGAGTTTTATCCCCTGTACAAGTGCTATATAACGGTTTAGTTAAATTACTTGGCACTATAATAGGTAAATGTCAAAAATTTGTTATTTTTTGCCATGGTAATACCATGAACTTGGTCGCTTTGCAACCATCTTCATATATAAAAATTTTACGCGCCAAAAAAAGTATAGTATTACTTCAAAAATCGCGGTAACGAATTTTTCTTTATGTTAGTTAAATATCCGCCATGTTCAATTTGGATCGTAGTAAGCGATGTAGGTAAATGATAACATCCGCTTCGTTTTATAATAGGAAAGTCAACGCACGTAAGTAGCAAGTAACGCGTTTCCAAACGATTTCCTATATCGGCTCGGGAAAAGTTAGAAGCGCACAATGCATGACGCGCTTCCCACAGTAGTAGAGAATCGAGAACAGTTTTTATCGCAATGGATCGACGAACGCAGCTCGAGATCGCTTAGCTTTATGTGTATTTAGTTTATTTGCCAAATGTATCCTTCTTCATGACCAACACAAATTCAAAGTATTTCAGGCTAAACTTCGCAAGCAAATGAATTAAACGCTAGCTTAATTGAAATCTCAGTGTGTATAGCCCGGATCTAACTCAAACAAAAATACAAATGCATCGAAAGGACTGGAAATTTTGAGAACTATCGCTTGCAACGGACGACGCTATGAACACGACACGTATTGTTGACAGAGGCCTAATAATGACCTAATATGAGTGTGCGTTAGACCTATTTTAGTTGTGTGAATATTTCAATAGCTTGAAATAACTTTAAAGGTACCCAGATATACTAACCATCCTTTCTTAGACAAACATGAAGTCAACGTAAGTACGTCATTATAGGGAAAAACCCAAACTGGAGCAAATCTTCCATCTGACTTTTTAAAGTTGTTTAACTTGTTAAGTTGCAT